GGACTTTAATGACCCTTTAGAGATGATAAAGGATCCAGGCTCATACTGTTAGCCAGATACTGAAAGTGAAGGACTTACACCTCCCCAAATACACCATGAAAGGTCCAGAGCACAAGATAGAAAGAGGTCATAGGAAAATCACAAGGAAGGACTTCTTAAAATGTTTATCTATTGTGTTTCAAATGTTTCTTATGCAAGAAATGAATTTGTAGGAAGTTGTTGGTGCCAGATTTAGTGCTAGCTGTAGTCCTACTGCTGCTCAGAACTCCTAAGCTGAAGTGATCCACCAGCTTCAGACTTTTTAGTAATACAAACTCCAAGCAGGTATCACTGTGCCTGGATAGACCATAGCTCTTAATACTCTATATGCACTGCCGTTCAGAGTTGTGAGAAACAAACAAAATGAGAGTGCTTAGAGTAGTAGGAAGTATTAATAATTTACCCTGCATTTTTAAAATCAGCCACTCTAGTGTCTTGGCCAAGAAAGCCCCAAATGGGGTCACAAAGAGTTGGGTATGATGAAACAACTGAGCAGCAAACAATAACAATATGAGATAGAGTAGGTATTATTATTATTATTCCTATATGAGGATCCCCCTCCCTCCCTCCTGTGAAAACTAAGTCACTTGACCACTTGACCTGTCATATAGCTAATTAGTGTCAAAACTGAGCCTATGGTAAAAATCAAGGCTCTTTGCTTCTGTTCCTGTGTTATTTCCCTTACATCATAATACTTTATAGTACTTGTGATAATTAAAACTGTTTTTTCTTTAAAAACTTTATTAATAAAATATATAAAGTGAAATAAGGTAGAAGGGGATAGCAGAACACTAGGGGAGTTTGTTACTTAGAAGAATCCTGCCTCCTCTATTTACCACCTGTGTGACAAGGGGAAAATCATTTTCCCTTTCTGGCCTAAATTTTCATCATCTATAAAATGAGAAAATTAGATCAAATGCTCTCTAACATCCATTCCAACTTTTAGATACTGTGATCTCATGTATACCTGAGAGTAGGAGCCACAGGTAATCAGCAGAACAAGTAATGCTGGAGAGTGAGGTCTCTGGTCCATTGACACACCCTCACCAGTCACCATCCCATCACATGAGGTAATGGATGGGAAAGCACTTTTTAAAAAGTAGTTATCCAGACCATGTTTGTAATCATCACTGTTATCTGAACCTATATCTTAATCGTACAATTTGATCCTAAATTCTACTTTGACACATTGCAAGAGTATGACTCTACCATGAGCTTGTAGGCATTCTAAATGTGCAGGGCCTGTGAGAGGTGTCTTTTGTGTTCTTGGGGAAGTTGCTTCTCCTCTTTGGGCCTATTCTGCAGTGTTTGGGACTGGGAGGAAGGGGGTAGTTACAGAAGAATTAGACTTACCACTCAACCCTGAAATCAAGAAGGAAGTTGTTCAACACTCACCAGTCAAAGGTGGCAGCAAAGAAGATGAAATGGGCAACAAGGGAAGGGTTGCTGTTTATGTGTTCGAAATAGGACATGGACTTACGGGAAAGAGACTAGTTTACTAGACCTTTGAGCATGGTGTTCTTCAATCTACAGTGGGAAGAAGAAGTCCGTGATGATCATGAAAAAGGCCACTCCTTGGTCTTGGTGCACCATTACACGGAGCTATTATCAACCCAGATAGAACTCTTAGATTTGTAGTCATTCCATACATTAGGGCAGCTTGGAAGGGGTGGGTGAAGGTTAGGGGGTTTTGCTAGGAAGGAGAATGGATTCTTACTTATTTGTTTTCATATTTCAGCTATCATGAGTATGAACAAGCCAATCAATGAAGGCATACGGGAGACGAAAATTTCTAGATGGAAGATTCCAGAAATGGAGAGAGGGTAGGCAGGCAGGAAGAAGACATGTGTCTAGATCAGAGACAGAGAGCCTGTCATAAAAAAAAAGTCTCAGCCTAGAAATGCTTCCTGGCTATCCCACAGGGATCTCAGTTTCTTTATCAAATGAGATTTTTATATATATAGTGACTGAAATCCAGATGCCCTGAACTGTTTATATATATATATATATATATAATATATATAATATATCTATATAATATATATATTATATATATATATATAATGTGTGTGTATAAATGTATGTATGTTTATATGTACATATATATATAAATGTGTGTATATGTGTATACACACACACACACACGTGTGTATGTACAAAGTGCTTTGCCAAGCTTAAAGCCCTATCCAAATGTTAACTATTATCATTATTATTATTATCTGTCAATATAATATCCAATCTACTTATGAGCTAATAGATTGGAAAGTGCTTTGGTAAGTAAAAAACTCTTTAGAACTGGAAGTTTGTTATTGCCTGGATCTCTACCAGGCTCAGCTCTCTCGGAGTGATTTTGTGGCTTTAAGGCAGTAGGTTTGTTATTGTTGTTAATTAATTCAATCAGCAAGCATTTATTAAGCCTCCATGGATCCAGGGCTCAGGATGCAAATGTAACCATGAGACAGACCCTATCCTCAGGAAGCTCATATTCTATCAAGTATAATTTTTCCTTCAGAATCACATGTACTTTTCTGATGCTGATGAGGTTAGGGGCAGGCCCTGAGGATTGGGTCAGAATGGAATCATGGGTGTCTGGATTTGTTAGTTTTAAGGTGGTAGTTGTGGGAGAGAGGATGGAAACGGAACAGTCAAGCTAGCTGTGGTGTGGGAAGGGGGTATGTAGTCCAAGGAACATTGGGAGTCTTAAAGCCAAAGACAAAGATTCTTGACCCTTTTTTTTCTTTAAATCTGAAATGTGGTCCCTGAAGAAGGCGCAGGGTAGGGGAAGAGAGGAGAATAAGTATTTATAGTATTTATTTAGTGCCTTACACAGACACTGTGTTAAGCGCTTTACAAATATTATCTCATTTGATCCTCACAATAGCTCTACAAAATGGGTGCTCTTATCTCCATTTTTACGGTTGAAAAACCTGGGGCAAACAGAAGTTAAATGACTTGCCCAGGGTCACCCAGCTAGTAAGTGACTGAGGTTGGATCTGAATTCAGATTTTCCTGACTCTAGACCCAGTGCTCTATCCACCGTGCCATGAGCTGCCTCAGTGGTAGGTAACCACAAAAGTACCTGGTCTGGGAGTGAGATCTGCATTCAACCACGTCCTGGCTCTGTCACATACTAACTATGTATAATTTTACAACTAAAAGGAACCTTAGAGATTATCTAGACTACATGCTTTCATTTTACAGATGAAGAAATATGGTCTTAGAGAGGGGAAAAATAATTTGCCTTGGATTCCACAGATACTAGATAGATGAGCCAAGATTCAAACCCAGTTCTTGAAGGTAATTTGGAATTTAGAGGTGTTCATGAAAGTGACCAACTGGCCAATAAACTTGAAAGCTCCCTTATTTCAGACATTTTAACTTACACAAGGAAAGGCATCAGATATAACCTAAGATAGGAATAGGAGTCAAGGGAAAAACAGTTCAAGGCATCTGGATTTCAGTCACCTAAGACAGGTACTTGGGTGTGATCATCCTGAGATTGTAGCAGCAGCAGCACAAAGTGGGGCAGGGATGGTCCTCTGAGAAACTCCTCTTGACACTTGACACAACCAAGTGATAGGAAATACCTGTCATTTCTCTGAGTTCTACAGAGGATGCCTAGGTTCTGTGAATGCAGGTAAGAGACAAGAGTTTGTTTCACAGAGAGGGTGGGGTCCACTGAGGAATGTCTGATTGATTCTCATCTCAGTAGGGAGATCCCAGGGATTGACCAGTGAGGCCCAGTTGAGTACAGCATGAGACACATAGTTTCTAGTATGAACCATTTCAGATTCAGAATATTAGAGAAAAGAGGCAGGCTAGGGGATGCCAGGAAGCAGGAGGGGATGTATCTGGAATGGAGACAACCTGTCACAAATAAACCTTATATAGATCTCAAACTGAGTCTTAGGGAGAGTGACTTGCTAAGAGCCAAAATTCAAAATTACATCTTCTGATTTCAAATCCAGTTCTTTTTCCACTGCTTCTAGTGACCATGAATCTTCTCTAAGCCTCAGTCTCCTCATTTGTAAAAATGAGAAAAAATTGTTTTCAAAGGACTTTTCAACTCTGACATACTGTGTATAAGACAGGTGTGATGCTAGCAATGTTGTCACAGGCATGTGACTTGATTCCAAGCTCTTAAGAGACAGTGTGGGTGGCAGTCAGAGTGACACAGCTGTTTCTGAACTTAGGCCAATGACTTTTATGCCAGCTGTGCCTGAAACTTGCAATGAGACATTAAATACATGTCTTAAACTCCTTTCTTGCTCTTCAGTTCCCTTACTTATAAAATGAGTTGTGAGGAATAGCTAATAAAATTGATGTTGGTTTTCAAGTGGAAAATGGTGTAGCATCCTGGCAACTTCTAATAACCCTTAATCCTTCCCCAACCCCACCTCCCCAATAAAGAGGCTGAAAATGTCATCCTAAAGCAGCTGAAATTTATATGGTGAACATCACCCCCATCTCTTCCAAGAATGTTTAAATTCACTATTAAATGTGTATAATAATAATGTACATTTACTTAGTGCTTTAAAGTCAGCAAAGTCCTTTATAAACATTAACTCATTTGAATCATACAACAGCCTTCCAAGGTAGGTGTTGCAAGTATCATCCCTATTTTGCAGATGAGCATACTGAGGCTTGGCAAGTTTAAGTCACTGGTAGAATCAGGATTCAAATCCTGTTGTCTTATAAATCTAATGTACTTTCCATTACATCGTGATGCCTCACAGATGGCTCAAATAACCTGTGTTTCATTCAGGATTTCCAACAAGTTTGGCATTCTCTCCTCAAAATTTACCATCAAGTAACATTTGCCCACGATCATTCCTTTGTGGGCAATGGGATGATACATCATCAGTGTTCTGCACAGAGCAAACACTTAGTAAGTGTTTCCTGAATGAATGATCGAAGTGCATTCTACCTAATGTCTAATTCCTTTCCTTTTCTTGTCCCAGCAGGTCCCCCAATGGCAGCCGCAGTGGTTTCACATTTTAATGACTGTCCAGATTCCCACAGTCAGTTCTGCTTTCATGGAACCTGTAGGTTTTTGGTGGAAGAGGAGAAGCCAGCGTGTAAGTAAGTATCTCCTGGTCTCTGGACCTCTGAATCACCATGTGCAGGTGTGGTTCTGTCAACCAACATGAAATAGTTGACCTGATAGGTCATTTCCCACAAAATGAGATGGCTCCAAAGGTCTTTAACAGCTGGTAATGAAGAAGGATCAATTCATCAAGATTTATCAAAGCACTGTACTGGGTACAGTAGGGGATATCAAGAAGAATGAGATATGGGTTGTTCCCTTTAAGGTGTTTACTGTCTAACTGGGGAAATAATATATATGCATATAAAGATAACAGCATGTCTCTCCCTCTCCTCTCTTCTCTCTCTTTCCCTTTTCCTTCTCCCCATCTCCATCTCCCCCTTCTTCCTTTCTCCCTTTTGTCCCTCTCCCTTCTTCCCTCTTTCCTTCTCCCTTCTCCTTTCTCTCTCCTCCCCCTCTCCCTACCTCCTTTCTTCCTTCTGTCCCTTCCCCTGTCTCTGCTCCTTTCCCCTTTCTCTTTCCCTCTCCTTCCTTGTCTCTGTTCCTCTCTCCTTCTCCCTTTCTTCTTTTCTCTTTCTCTCTCCCTCTTCTTCCCTGCAATTCTATAGCTCAATGGTATCAAACTCATATAGAAACAGGGGCCGCCAATCCAAGAATAAGGATTGCTGTGGGCCACATATTGACTTAATTTTAAGCTGTAATATTATCTATGTTTTGTTTGTTTTTTGTTAATTTTGTTAAATATTTCCCAGTTACATTTTAATCTGGTTCAGGCTGCACTTGGGAGTGCTATCGGCTAATATGGTTTAGATCACAGCCCTCCATGTCTTATTAGATGGCTAATTGTTGTTGCTTTTTAAAAAAAAATGCATCACTTGATAGTTCACATTCTATTTCTATTCTGTTCACATTCTATTCTAACTCAAGCTAGAAGGGAATCCAAAAGAGATCTAGTCCACTACCCTCACCTTCCAAATTAAGAAGTTGAAGCCTAGTCTGGTTAAGAGATTTGCCCAGGGTCATTCAGGTAGCAAGGGACAAAGGCAGGAATTGAATCCAGGTCCTCTGACTCCAGAGTCCCCAGATCTCTTTGCACTCACTGTGTTATGCTGCCTCTAAATGTCATCATTCCATATTCAATCAGGTCCGTATTCAAAGTTGTCCCAACTCACCAGGACCTGACAGAACCTCCATTTCATTGGCATGGCCACGGTTACCTCCATGATACTAGGCATGGGACTTGAGAAGAATCTGGTTGCAATGAATATCAAGGTCATCCTAATTGAACAAGATTTATTGAATTGGTCTTGGGGATCCCAAGATAAACTGTACAGAAAATTAAATAGATGACCAAGAAGCCTCTAAAAAGTAGCCTTGAGGGTGTTTGCGTGAGGGTGCGTCAGAGAAGGACTTTGGTGCCACTAGGCAGTATCTGATTAGTAGTACATACGATAAGTACCATTGGAGGCCCAAGAAGGCTGTGCAGAAGAGATTAGATCATAGAAACAGTAAAATTAGGAGCAGAAAACACTGAATTTTGAGTCAGAAGATCGGGGTTTGAATTCTGGTTCTGCTATTCACTAGCCAGGCCTCAGTTTCATCATCTATAAAATCAAGGGTGTGGACTAAGATCTTTAAAATCCTTCCATCTCTAAAGCGTGATTACATGAAACTTTTTTTTTTCAATAATAGATAGGGTTTGAAAAGGTACAGAGAAGGTAGGGAGAGTAGTCCATGTGAAAGATTCAAAGAGATGAGAACACAAGGCATTCTCAAGGGGCTGTGAGGAGCCCACTTTGACTGACATGGGTTTATTTAGAGTAGAGGAACAGCAGAAGGTAAATGTTTGTCATTTTGAAAAGGAAAATTGGGGCCAGTTTTTGGAGGTCTGTGGAAGGCACAGTGCTAAACGGATAAGTTTGGATTTTATTCTAAAATCAGTGGGTAGCCACTGAATACTTTTGAGCCTAGGTGGGGAGGCATGACCAAAATGATGTTTAGAGGGTATTTATTGACTAGCGGATTGATTAGAAAGGAGTTGAAGGCAGGGACATCAGTCTTGGGTCTTCTTGGGCAAGTAATTTCCTCTCTCTCATTCTTCTGTTTTCTCGGTTGTAAAATGAGAAGTTTAGATCAGATAAACTGTGAGGTCCGGTCTAGACCTAAGTTTCTGTGTTTCTGTGATTTGGAAGCTAGTCTGATAACCTAAGAATTAAATGATAAATTTAAAGTTTTCTTCTTGTATTCTGTGTTTGTGATTTGAATTGAGGCCTTCCCCTTTCCAGAGCTTTTGACTGAGGTCATAGCCCAACCACCTCCCTCTCTCTTAGAAATTATGCAAGGTTTAGGAAGCCAACCTTTGCAAAGCACGGTGACATTCTCAGAAGAAAGGTTCTGCATAATTTTTTTAAATAGCCATTATCATTACTTATCATCATCATTAGCATTACTAAAATACCAATTAGGTCACTCATTAACTGGGAGCTGGACAGGATTGTGTCCAGTGGTTCTCTAGATGAATGTGGTATCCAGACACCCACAATCTGACCAGGAAGGAAATGTTTTGTCTTACATTCTAAAACATGAGAGAGTTTTACTGTATTACTGAGATAGACAAGTGATATTCTGACCAGGAAGGAAATTTTTTGTCTTTCATTCTAAAACATGAGAGAGTTTCACTGAATTACTATGAGATAGACAAGTGACATTCTTTCTTTCCTTGGGCCACAGAAGAGATTTAGTTGGCAAGAAAGGATGGCTTTGGCCTAAGTTGGGGGTGGGAATCTCTGAGCTCCTGATAAAACAGGCTGCCCCACTAAAATGAGCTCTTTCTGAGTAGTAAGAAATAGATAGGTATATACTGAAAAACAACACTGATTATAGGCCATAATCAGGTTTTATACGAGCCAGACTTAGGGGGTGGGGTAGAATACAGCCTATATTTGGACCAATGTGGTAATTGGGGAGACAAGATAGGAGTTCATGTAAATATTTATATGTCTGAGTGACAAAATATTGAAGCAAGCCTTGGCCAGCCAGTCATAGCCATAGAGAGTAAAACACATGAATGTACCACTCTTTTGAATTCTTCTAGGATTATAGCCCTAGAAATGTGAGCTTTATCAAAACAATATTACTCGGAGCCAAATTTTCCACAGGTACAACGCTCTAATTAGGGATTAGATTTCTAGAGAAAGCCAAAATGGTTTTTGATACTGTAAAGCACAGGAGGGAAAAAAAAGTTAAAATTGACTTGGGAATATATAGATAATTCTCAACAAAGATGTCCAATGATAATAATATTTATTGTTGACAATTTATATCTAAGGTTAGCCCTCTGGTTGTCCACTGCCTCTATGTATCTCCCTGCTAGCTTCTATCTATATTAGAAAACTTGATTTGAAAAATATCTATTCCAGGACAGTAACAAATAAATAAAGTCGTGGGAAACATAAAACTAGAAATGGTCACAGTTCAGTACTTTTGCCCTGAGAGCAATGACATCACCAAGTGGGGAATCAGTATGGTTGGAATATTTCTATCCTAAAGACATGTCCAAGTTCCTTAGGTTATTTGTACCCCAAAGCTACCTGTATAAAACCTGAAGAAACCTTTGGGGGGGGAAACTTTTTTCTAAAGGTAACCAAAATTTTAAGCATGTTAATCTCAGCTATCAGTGACATAGTTTGAAATTTCATACCTGTTCAAAATACTTCTAGGTAATTGAGCATCCCAGAATCTGCCTCCCACCAAAAGGTATGAGACCAAGTTACCAAAAAGCCAAGAAAAACACTCTTAATCCGTTACCTCATTTCATTTCTGCGAAACTTAGAAAAGTGTTTCTAAGTGGGGAAGGTTTTTTGTTTTCTTTTTTCTGATTTTTAGTTGCATGGAAGTCTCTTTTCTGAGTATGTTTAAGCAGAGGCTGGATCACTGGGAGATGTTAGAAGGGACTTTTCTGAGGCTTACAAGCTTGTGTGGAGCTCTTGGTGATTTTAAGTCCGATGAATAATTGAGGGAACCCAAAAATGGGAACAAAGAAACAGATACACATTCATTTCACTTTTAACAGACATTTATTAAGCAACCACTACATGTATGGCCTATGCTAGACTTTCAGGATAAAAAGATGAAACCAGACAGTCCCTGACCTCAAGCAGCTTTCAGTCTAGTTGAGGGAAACAAGTAAGCTAAGATACACTGATCACAACTATTTAAATTAGAATATAATCAGCATCTCCTAATCCTGTTTGTCCTCTGAACTTTACTGTTTATGTTGAGGGACTAAGACAGGGGTGGGGAATCTTCGGCCTCTAGGCCACATGTGGCCCTCTAGGTCCTCAAGTGCAGCCCTTTGACTGAATCCAAACTTCACAGAACAAATCCTTTTATTAAGGGGATTAGTCACTAAGAAGACCAGGGCCTTTCCCTAGAAGCCAATATCCAGGAGGATATTTTTCCCCTTAGGTAGAACATTGGCTACCCTGAGCTATCACCCTCCAGGGTCCAATGGGTCTTGACCATCATGTTCCTCTGTCAGAATCCACTTTCCCACCAAGACTGTCTACCTTCAGCTCACCTCTTTGCCTGGGGACCTTCCTTCAGACTGCTAACACTCATACCGAAAAATAAACCCAGGTCTAGCTTTCCTCAGTTCCTCTACCTTATTTTCCACTGTGTGCCCTAGCAGCCTTGTAAATTGTTAACAAATTCTCCTTCATCCTAGACCCCTTCCTCTCACATTCCTTCAATCTTCTGGTACTCACTGAAACCCTAGGTTTTTACTGAACACAGCATGTAGCATCTTCTCCAAAGCTAGCTGCTTTCTCTCTCACACTGCCTGACAAACAGGCCTAGCTGGCAGAATTGGAAAATTACTTTTTACTTACTGCCCCTTTCAGACCCTCCTTCTACCACTATCCTGAAGCAGCCACTTCTCTAAAGTTCAATATTTTCCGTTTTTTGTGGCCCTGCCCACTTCAAACATCCTGACCTTCTGGCTCCACAGTCATGACCTCCAGTCTGCTTCAGCCAA